CTATATAGGTGCTTTATGACAATTACTATTTTATATTTCCCTGTAAAATTTTTTGCCTTATTTAATTCCTGCTTTATCTAATTTTATTGGTCAAGAGCGTAGCGGATTGCTACCTTAGTAAAGCCTGACTGATTCAGAAATCTCTATGGCAGATCCTCCTACATCTAGCTAGACTACCAGAACCAGCTAAGCTATGGCCCAGCTATAAAGGAAACAGACGTGCAACACGGAGCACGTTTATTCAGTACGAGTATTGCGAATAAAGTGTACACGCAGGAAGCTTAATCATGGTCAGGATGGCGGATTAGGTTAAAGGAACAGAGGTTAATGATTGAGCACTGTTTGAACGGTCACACCTCCCAATCATGCCGTACAGGCACGCGATGATGTGCTCCAGAAGAGCAATGATTGTAAATGAGTTTTCTTGAAGCTATGTCATCAATTTACTTGACAATTTAGTATCATTATTGCTCCCAATTTCGTCATGGTTTGAAATTTTAGCAGTAATCTTTCTCCTTTTGCTATTCATAGTCTACGTAGGCTGACAAAGTTTTTTGAAACTTTCTTTATAAGTAGAGCATAGTTTTTATCAAACCGTATTTAAAATGTATAGTAATTTAGTCCTTCCTGAAGACCGTTTTGAGGTTTGAAATTCTTTCCTCTTCCTTCAATACAAAAGTGAATATGATCTTGAAATGCCTAATCAAAAAGTAACGGAAAGTAAACACTATAGGATCAACTAAGATATTAGTATTTGCTTGTCACAATGAGCTTCCTTATAGTCATATGTTAGTTGACATTTAGGTGTCTTAAATGGATATAAATTTGCAATATTCTTCCGAATATTTTATTTTATCATTCAAAATTCTAGTCTATATTGAATGGAATTTCGTTCCATCAGTAGCAATGTTTTGTTAGGGTCTATTAACCTGAACATGACATCGTAATCAATTCTTAGTTTAGCCAAGATGCTGCAACAGTTACAAGCACATTATACCTTAATATAATATTGTTTTAATGGAAGGAGCATTTTTTGTATTGTAAGCCTATTCGTATTTCACAATCTTTTATCTGTTTTTTAGACAAATTTAGTCGTATAATAATGAATTAAAGGTGGAAAATAAAGAATTCTGTATTTAACAGTTATTTCAGTCAAATTTTCATTTTATGCAATAATTTTAGTTTCGTTTTTCTATGTCGACGTTAGGCAAATTTATATTCGAAGAACATTTGTATCAGTGTCAACGTGCTCTTCTCTTTTTTAGACTCCTTCGCTATTAATAGATTCCTTGTCATTACGTCAAGTAGATTATGTTGACGCAATGTAGCTGAATGCTATATATTTATTTTTTTCCTCTGGGTATGCAATTACCACGGCCTCTATATAGCTGTTAATTATTCATAGGGATTACACGTGAACTGTCTTCATATTATTATATTCCCGCATGTTATTCTCTCTTCTTAGTCTGAGGCATATGTGGCGCTGATAATTCAAGTGGAAGCCCAGCTTAAAGCATCTGAAATAGGACATTTTAGGTTCACAAGAGAATAGGAAATTACGAACCAAACCAAAGTAAATTCAATCGAGTCTAATTTGGACTACCATTTCTTCATTTGAAACACAAGATAGAAAAAATAAATAGAACTTCGGAACGTCTACGCATTAGAAGCGAAATTATGGTTCATATCAGTAATGTGATTGGTCAAAGTTCGAAAGTCAAACTAATTTAATTAATTATCCTGATTTAATTACTTGCTACCATCGTTTTTATCAGGTGTTAGCTTATATGCCAATTATCGCGTTTATTGTTTAGAGATGGTAAATTTTATTGCTATGAATTAATTAAAAGAAAATTTCACTGAACCTTTATAGATGAAGTGGGGAATTTATATCACTAATGAAAACACTTCTACTTCTTTTAATCTAAGACCTTTCTCTTAAAATTCCTTTTTAATATAGAACTGATTTTTCAAATTCTAAAATAGAATATAAGAAAAAAAACATTAATTGTAACTAACTTTAATTCGACAAACTAGAGAGTGGTATTTTAATAGAAACCCTGAGAGAGCCTGTGGCAGTTAGATAAAAATCTTTGCCTTTCAAACTGCCTTCTTCTTCCATTTAAAGCCAAATTGAGATACAAGTGTCCAATGATTTTAAAAAGGGTATAGATTAAGTCAAATTCATTTGACTTTGCTCTTTTTTACAAGTTGCTGCAAATATAGGCAATTCTTTTTCCTTTCGATTCCTTGGAATTTATTGGCGCTGACTTGTGTGCCCCCCTTTCGGAAATTCAAACAAACCAGAGCATTATCCTTGATTTTAAGCTGTATTTCGACAAATGCTCACCGAATTTATCATTTTTAGGTATAGGAAGTAATGTAGGTTCAAATTCTTTTGAGCTGATTGGTGCAGAATTCCAATTTAATAACCAAGATCTTCCCTCTACCTTAAAGCAAATCCTGACAACCTAAGGTTCGCTTGTCAAATTAGGTCAATATTAAGTTTTATTTATAAATAAAGTGACATGTTTTAATTTTCTAAAAGCTGGAGTACAGGTGTTTTTTGAGGTCAGTGCACTGTCATGAAAATTCAGTGGCAATAGTTGTCAACAGTACTAGTTATTTCTATTCAACAGAATGAAATTTTCTCTCCGGATCGGCTAACGATACCATCCGTTATAGCAAAAGCAAGTATTGGTTTGAGAAGTTCCAGTACTGTTTGAAAGGTATCGCATCATTCTACATTTTCTTAACTTAAAATCAGCTATTCAGAAATCAGCCTGTTATGCAAATGAGAGCGCTTATTTTCACGTGATATATTGGTTGTATTATGTAGTAAATGGGCCTAATGATTTTAACAACTGAAAATTAGACAGAGGTTAACGCTGGGTTTTACAAGGGAGCAATGCCAATGCTTCATAAATAAATGATAGGTCTACTCATTCCTCCACTACCCCAGTTTTAATTAATAAATTGAATGGAAAACCCTAACATTGTATAAATCTATGAAACAAGATTTCAACATCTTTGAATTGGACTGAGTGGGATGAAGATTCACAAGGATTTGGTAAAAAATACGTTAACGCTAAAATGTAAATAGCAGGCGTAAATAGGTCTCGTCTTTTTTAATGCTTATATCGACTTCCCGATATTACTAACCCGGGGTGCGCGATAGACTTACCTCCACGTGGTGCACCCTGGACAACGTATTTTCTTACGGAAAAAAAGTCTATCACTCGGCATTTTGACTTCTATTTATTATGATTAGCTTTAAAAAAGGCTATAAGAAAAAACGCCCTCGTCAGGTCGAATCACAACGGCTTCAGATCCTCCAGTGGAATGCTGGAGGGATGTCACCGGACAAGAAGATCCAAGTCCAGAAAATCCTACAAACCTATGATGTAGACATTTTCACAATTATGAAAGCAAACATTTCGGATGACAAACTGAAGTATTACCGATTCCCAGGTTACACCCTGTACAATCTACCTAAATACCGGCAAGTTGCAAGTGGAATTCTAACTGGAGTAAAAGAAGGCCTCACCTCACACTACGATCTAATCAAGAGTATGGGCTCGACACAAGACAAATGTGAAATAATCAGATTAAATGTTTGGAAATGTCAAAATCACTTCAAGATATATGCAGTCTATAATCCACCCCAGAATTGTCCAAACTTTGACTTTCTGAACATCTCACACAAAACTGTAATATTAGGAGACTTCAACGCCCATTCCACCAGATGGGGCTACAAGGATACAAACATAGCTGGAAAGGAAATTGAAGACATGCTTAACAGCAACCCTCTGGAACTTATTTACAGCAATGAGGATCCGGCTACATATTTGCACTGCAATGGAACCAGAACAACTCCTGATTTACTCTTGGCTTAAAGCGACATCAGTGAGCATACACGCCACAAAATAATTGATGATCCTGGTTCTGGTCACAAACCAGTCATTGCTAGTATTACCATCGGCAGCAAAAGCATGACAAGGAAAGTGCCAACTAAGCTATCATGGAACTTCAAGAAGGCTAACTGGTCTAGTTTCACTAACCTTTTAGACAATGAACTTCACACAAGTCCCCTCAACTTCAGCCAACATCCTGACAAACTTTGCACTGATATCACGAATATTATGATCAGATGTGCAAAGAAAACTATTCCCCGAGGCAAAACTAAACACTATCGAGTGTTTTGGTCTAAACACCTTGAGGAACTGAAAAGAAAGCGGGACGCCCTTCGTAACACTGCTTATCAGACTAGAAGAACGGTAGACGTAAAAGCCTGGAGACGACAATCAGCTGTCCTAAGGCAAGCCATCTTACAAGCTAAACGGACTTCCTTCTACAACTTCATCTCAAATATCAATTTTCAAAGTGATAGCCAACGCNTAAACTACTAGCAAACTGGTGCGACAACAATGGAATGGTAATCAACACTGCAAAACTGCATTCCAAACATTTTCTTTGGCCCGTCACAGCATAAACCCGCTTCTAAGGTACAAGGATACTACCATAGAATAAACCAATGAGTTCACATATTTCAGAATGACTTTTGACACTAAGCTAACGTGGAAAAGTCACATTGCAAAAATAACAGAACGAGTCTCCAATAGACTGAATGTACTGAAGCGTCTTGCTGGTAGCCTATGGGGCTGTGCGAGCTCAACTCTCAACACCACTTACAAGATGTTTATTCCGCCAATAATGTTGTATTGCTGTGAGCCACTCATTACAGCCACAGAGGTGACTCTCAAACCCCCCGAGAAGGCACACAATCAAGCATTACGACTAATTACTGGAGGGATAAAATCAATACCCATTGATGCAATGCTCCTAGTTACAGGAAGCACCACAATAAGTTCCCTTATCAAAGAGAAGGCCTTGATCCTGTATGAGAAGCTACTGCGCATTCCCATGGATAAGTTCTTCAGCACCTATGAGAATAGACCAAGACATCTGATAGCGCAATCTGGTCTAATACAGAAAGCCATAGAACTGAAGAAAGAATTACAAATCGATGACAAAATAAAAAGCCTCTCTCTCTCCCCATGAACCCATTAGCAGACACTGATGTAGTGTGTTGCACCCAACTGCTTGACTTCTTCAGGAAATCAAACACCCTTTAGAGCAAATGCGCTCACTGGCCCTTGAGACAATCAATGTCAACTATCCTGCAGATCAATGGCTCCAAGTCTTCACTGATGGGTCATACATAGAAAACCAAGCAAACGTTGGTGCAGGTGTCTATTCTGAACTCTTCTCTTTCTACGCAGCAGCGGGACACAATATGGTCGCTATTGAAGGAGAAATAGAGGCCATTAGGATAGCACTATGCCAATTTTGTTGCTATATACGAAATTCACCAAAGCGGTGATACTTTCGGACTCATAGTCAGCAATAAACTCAATTGGAAACAGAGAGCCACCCAAAACAGCTGAGATAAAGGAATGTAGAAAACTCTATCAGCTGCTGAGAGAGAAAAACAAAACAGTGGTCCTACGATGGATTCCTGGTCACCGTGGCATTAAAGGCAATGAGCTTGCTGACACACTTGCTAAGAAGGGGACAACGATTTTGCAATGCATGGACCGGCCGATGTCTTTCCACACAATGAAGGCCTTAATCTGGAGAGAATTCCATACCTCAAGATGCAACGAACTTAAAGCTCGAACAAAGGAGATACAGTGGACAGTGGCACTCTCCGACATACCTGACTGGCCAAGAATCGAAGCCGTTGCTGAGTTTAGACTACGTACCGGACACGATTGCTTGGCAAAACACCTTCACAGATTGGGAGTATACACTCAACCCACATGCCCTCTATGTAACCTGCAGGAGGAAATGGAGAAGACCCACTTGATTCGGTGTCCAGCCCTAAAGGCAACGACGGAAAGCCAAAGATACTGGGAAGCAAGAAGACAGCTAATGAATTGCTATTAATTAACCGCTATAAATGTACCCTCCCCCCTTGGGGGAAGCTGAAGTCAAAGATTAAGGGCTAATGATAAATATCATAAAGCCTGCCATTTGAAATAAATAAATAAATAAATATTACTAACCCAACTTTGGATGTTGGACGGTTCCTTAAGTTTGCCATCAATATGCACTAATGTCATGCTATTACAGGATTTTGATAACATTAGCATTATTCACCAAGTACATGCATTCAAATGTTGGCACCACTTATCATATTATTTGCACAGCGCATAAAAAATTTCCATCAAGATGAACAATGATTGTAGATACATAGTGGCATATGTGTAAGCCTATTTCAATCTTTACTTTGTTTACCTCGAAAATGACATCAGGGCAGAATGTGACCCTGAAACTGTTTATAATAAGTCACTTATGGATTTAAGGGTTGTGCGATAGACTTACCTCCACGTGGAGCACCCTGGGCAACATATACTCATACGGCAAAAAAGTCTATTAACCGGCAGTTGACTTCAAACTCCAAACTATCATCACCCTACTGTATGTCAAATTCGACTACTTCAACCGTACTCACCCCACCTTTTTTCCAACTTTGTGTCTGTCTCTTTTACCTCTTTGAAACACTCTTCTGTCCCCCCTCCCCATCTCGACCTTTTTCACTTTGATGTTCCTTCCCATCTGTGAAGCCTGAAGTCAACTAAAGGGCTAATGGTAACTATCAAAACGCCTGCCATTTGATATAAATAAAACTTATGGATTTAAATAAGTGAAGTGAATTTGAGCACCTCGGTACTTTCATTGAATAGTTAGAAGAAGTTTAACAAATTCTACATTCACATAACTACCATTAGTGAGATATGATTGAAACGAATTAGTGTAAGTTATTGACTAACTACATTCATTATTTTTAACTCCATAATAAAAGGTAAAGGTTTTTCGCACATTTAAAATTTTTAGTAGATGCTTATTTCAACAAAGTTGTAAACACTAAATTATTTTACCTCTCAGTACGTTCACGAGAACTCTTTAAAAGAGTGTATCAGTGAATAATAATAAATCATGTTTTCTAAAGCCTTTTGATATAATATTAGGATATAAATATTCACCTTTAAAGCAGACAGAGGGCACGCCGAATTTTGTATGTCTCACAACCTTCGTTGGGGCTCGAGTTTTTGAAAGGCTACTACTAACCTCATTACCGAAATCTATAGCCATATTCTTACAGTTCACCCATGTTTTAAATTATTTAAACTGAGCAATAGGAATCGAAATGTTGCAACAAAATCATAACCATTTGCTGACGACGCATTGGAATCAGTGGTTGAACTAGAATTATTGCAAAAATAGTATGTTTATGCCCAATTGGGCATTTTAACTTGAAGCACAAAGGGAAATTGAATAGGATGAGAGGATAAACATGGATTAAGTTGTTAGTAAGGAAAAGATCGTACGTTTCCACCAATTTTTTACAGGAGAAGAGAAGTTGATAATATAATACGACGTTAGAGGGGCCCAAAACGATGTCCACTTCAAATCAAACCCCTTTCCATCCATTTAGTGGGATGGATATGGAATAACCCATGACACGAAATTAATAAATGTTACAGCCGAAGTTTATTGCTGTCAACAATTGGGAACACTAGACCAGAAACTAGAGGATAAATGTACAAGTTTCGTTTGCATTTTTTCAAATCACAACGCTCGGCCTGATCCATAGAGCAAGAAAAATCATTTAAAAATAAAAAATTAGATTGAGGCGTTCCTACAAATTTGTAACTATCAGAAGGCTACGCTAGTTATCTTTCAATTATTAAATACTGAAACATTTAAGTCTGTAAATATCTTCCAACTCTCTTCTACTCAATTAGAGGAGAAGCAGCAGATCATAAGGTTATCTAAATTCTTGCTCAATTAAGTGAGCAAGCAGTTTGAGAGGTGAAGTATTTTAGAAAATAACGATATAAAGTTAATTGGAACGCCCGAGGGGGTGTGCGATAGACTTACCTCTACGTGGGGCACCCTGGGCAATGTATACTCATACGGCAAAAAAGTCTAAATCGATAGTTGACTTCTGACTTCAAGCTGCCATCACCCCAAAACCGGCAGTTGACTTCTGACTTCAAACTACCATGACCCCCTGGGTAACGTATACTCATACGGCAAAATCTATTTGTGCGCCCTGGGCAACGTATACTCATATGGCAAAAAAGTCTATTACCTACGCCCTGGGCAATGTATACTCATACGGCAAAAAAGTCTATTAATCGATAGTTGACTTCTGACTTCAAGCTACCATCACCCCACTGTATGTCATATTCGAATACTTTTACTATACCCACCTCACCTTTTTTCAACCTTTGTATTTGAAACAGTTCTGTTCCCCCACTCAAATTTTTAAAACTTTGATGTTCCCTCCCTTTTGTGAAGCCTGAAGTCAAATAAAGGGTTAATGAGAACCATCATAACGCCTGCCATTTGATATAAATAAATAAATAAATATGAATAATTACTAAATATTCTTCACCACGATTTTACGCATAAAGAACGAAATTAGCTAATAATAACTTAAAAAATAATAAATATTAATATAACTGATAAATTTTTATGGTAAAATCATTTTTGACAATAAATATTCAAATAATAATTCATTAACAAAATGAACAAACTCTTTCAATACTATTTGTTTCAGAAATAAAATAAATATTAAATTTAACTGAAAATATTCTTTTAAATATTTCAGCGAAATTTAATTCAGTCTTGAATACTCGTTTTAATAAATAAATAATTAAGCGTTTATTTTGAAATACTGTTAAAACCAATAGATTTCCGAGTTAGATTTTTCAGAATAAATGGCTTTTGAATCAACCGAAATCTTAAATTGCTTGCTCACATGGGTAGACTGCTTTACTTTATAACACAATGTAGGTTAAAAAATTTGATTTTGTGAAGTCAAGCTTGGAACCCAATGACCTCTATGATGGAGTACTTATCTCCAAAATACTTATTGTTGTGTAAATAAATCAGTTATTTATCAATTGAAGCTTTAGGTCACCTTCAGCCTTTTCTTCATCGTGGCAATCTCGAATTAGGTGTGGTGACAGTTTAACTTCATCTGATAAGGTTCTTATATTTTTATAACTTGACGTGTGTTCTTACTGTTGCCCTTCAGTTTCATCTTTCTATTATCCTGTTTTTCTCTTTTAGTGCTTTAATTTGAATCTCATCGTTGGTGCAGTCTCAGAGTTTTTCGAAAATGTAAGACGTTTGTTTTACTCAATTATTTCATATTTTTCTTCACTGACTAACTTCCTTCTCCCATTTATAGGTTATTGGTCAACCACTGGCCATTTTCCAACTTCCTAATGTTAGCCTAATTGGTAAGCTGATTACTTCAATTAAAACCAACATTCTCGTTAGCGGAAACATCTGATAATTGTGAATTGCTTCGCCTCCTTCAACTTGTCATTTGTTGTGCTGTTAATGGTGAAAACAAAGAGGAATATATTCAAGCCATTCTCATCATGGAACGCGAGGTCCAACAAGCAATTATGGAGTCTGTTCAGGAGGTAAGCTAGTAGACTTCTTATTCTTCACCCAATTGTTAATATGCTTTAATCTCTATGTGCGTAGTGTTGGATGTATCTGATTCCTGATTGGTAAAAGTGGCTCTTTTCTCTTCACTCGCGTTTTTCTTACACGCTTAGCTTATAATGTCATTATGGTTTTTTCTTGCCATCTTTTCTCTTTTTAGGTCATGAATGAAACAGCAGCTAAAGGAGATGAAATCTCGCTAATGAGTAAAGTAGGTCTTTTTTTACTTTTTTTAATTTCTCAAGTTATTACTTAATGTTCTTTTTATGTGCAAGTTATACTGATGTTCAAAGTGTTTATTTACAGACTTACTCTAGTGTTTATTTTCTAAAGCTTTAAGGTTGTTTGTGCTATGCTTAAACCTTATCATAATTTTGCTTTTATTTCTAAGTTATATTTCTTCTTCAATTAGAATGACAGGGATGATGCTGTTGCTCGAAAATGCCATGAACTCGAAAGTAAGGTTAGTTATATACGTATATTTTTTATAACAACTTAACAGCCTGCAGTTTATGCTGGTGCTAATTCTGTCCGTAAATTTCTTAATGGTTATAATATATTTCTAATGTGTTAAGTGAATTCTGGCTTCGAGGCATTTTTTTACAGATATCTCTCTTTATTTGGACCGCTTTATTTACGTTCTCAGTTAAACTGTTGTTTGGTAGAAGACTAATTATTACTCTCACAAATATCTTCAGTTTTATTGCCAATACTCTTACTTTATTACCCCTTCTTTTGATAAGTTAACTTTGAATCTGTGACACACCATGCCTTTACGGAATGCAAACCTGATGATTCAACTAATACACTTTTTACTCTCTGTGAGGTCATGACCTCATTACACATGCTAATCAGTGAGGCACTTATAAATACATTTTATTAAGGTTATTAACAAGGTGACGTAAATTGAATAGTTAATGTCAAATGCATGATGAAATGAAGTGTAATTTAATTAAGTGATAGGATGCTATTAAGAATGGCCTAGCTACTCTGCATGTATGCAGTTCTATTCTTGTAAATTACATATCGGTGTTGATTTGGACACGTATTTGTTGGCATATACAAAATCCTACATCTCAAAATCATGTTCATGTTAGTTCGACGTTTAAAAAATGCATACACTCATAATTGAATTTGTGACAATGCGTTATCCGTCTTTGCATCGGGTGGTTTCTACTCTGAGATTTGCTACTGGCGGGCAGATATTGCTAAGTCCAGATTATGCACGTTAATCGGTTCTTTTTTTACAAACAGAAATGTTGCCAAAATCTTTATTTTAAGTCATCTTTACTGGCAATCTATTTCTTAAGCCATTGAATCTGGATGGTTTATTTTAATCTAAGTGTTCACCAAGAATGACAGCTGATAGATGGTATCATGTATTTTATGGGTCCTGGTTGTAGAAGTAGTACAATGGCATGATCCAATAGTAATAACGAAATTCAAAGTCACTAAAGGTTTGAATAAGCAAAGGAATCACCAATACATCTATTTAAGTCCTTCAAGGTTACATTGAAAGACTTGGAGACTGAGCTAGTAGGCATGTATTGAAGGATAGCTGAAAATTAGGCACAAACATGTCAGGTCATGATAAAACCGCAGTAAGAACTGGTTCTTAAATGATATGGCAAAGTGCTTGTGCTTCTTGTTCCGAAATCTGGCTTAAAAGTATTTGATTTGGGATAGAAGGATCTTAAGATAGGCTTGGTGTTATTTTCATAAATTTTTAATCTGTGCTAAACAGAGCCAACTTTCAGAAGAAAATCACTTACTACTTTCAGATTAATCGGTTTCCTTCTACTGTGTAGTGCAGATAGGTATTGATCTCAAATCGATTACCAAGTTGCTAATTTTTTAATAATTTGAATAACTTTTTTGATACTATGCTGTTTTAACTTAACCTATGGCTACTGCTACTGTCTGACCTATCTAATTCCCTACAGGTTTCGCATTTGATAGCGGAGAAGGCTGCAACAGAGGCCGAATTGGAGGACGCTCTCCACAAAATTGCTCTTCTCGAGGAAGCTAATGTAAGAGGTGGAATTACTAGTCCCACTGAAACTGCTGGTTCGGTTGCTGCTACTCTACAACTTCAACAACTGCAGGAGAAGCTGCGCAGAGCCCAGGAAGAACTCTTCCAAGCTGATGCTGGTAAATAAAGCTTCTAATTGAAATGATCCACTCAAATTTGAAAGTGTGTAAAATTCTTCCCAGATTCGGTCTAATCATTTCTGAAAAATACGTGGGTTATTTTTTTCTCGAAACTTCTAGCCCCGAAATTTGCATGCTTAAAATCATTGCTAATAGAATGTTTGTGGAACAGTTATCCCATCGATAGGTCAACGTCATTGTTTTCTTTTCTGCAAACTTTATACAGTTGATAGACTAGTCTCAGACCGTAAAATTGGAATTTTATGCATTTAGAGATAGCAATAGACTTTATTGGCCATTTTATTCTATGTGAATTGGTCAAACTAAGGTTTTTGGCGTCTTGATGAAGCTATCTTAGCAGTTCGTGATTTTGTAGAGGAGTTCGTTTAGTAATTTTTTTCAAATACCAACGCTCTGTATGTGAGTAATCCCAAAATGAACATATGATCGCTTCAATTCTGTTAATGCAAGATTTCTTATCGGTTTCCGCGAAGCCCTTGCTCTCTATCTTGGTCAATATTATCCATGATATCATCGTTTTTTGTACTCATTTTTTATTTCTCATGAATACAACTTTTTTCCTTTCACTGTTCCTTTCTTCCATACTTTTCCTCACTGTGGTAAAATGAGTCATGAGGACGCAAAGTTGAGTAATAGTGCTTTTGCACACATTTTTATTCCTTTTTTATCCAATTACTTGCAGTGATGTCGTTCGGAAAATGAAAAATTCTTCTATGGAGCAGGGTGTTTAAAATAACATTGACATTATTTTAGATTGTTTTTTTCCAGGTGTGTGTTAAGGGTATTTCCACCTTTACTATGGTTAATTTGAAAGTATCAACCTTTCCTCTTTTCTCTACGAGATGATAACGAGAATGTCTGACTAGAACTCACCTGGATCATGGAAGAGAATAACTTGTATTACACTGATTCGGGCTTGCCGTCAAAAAAGGAGATTATGGTCGTTGCTCCATGTTCCCCCATTACTTTGAAAACAAACAACCCGGCATTAACGGATAAATTGCAATGTAGGTTACGAGGTCGCTGTGGCTGGGAGAAAGCATCGGAACAGATGGCCTGATATGATTACGCGCGGACAGCAGATTTCTTCGAGCAGAAATGCGCCGCAGAGTTAAAATTGTCATAGAAAAGTCATACGAAAATCCACTGACAAAGACGAAGAAATTTATAGGCAAAATCTGTTATCACGCTGAAGCACAAATAATCGTGTTCATTTTCAATGAGATAAACTTTAACCAAAATGAAAAGCTCAGCACAGATAACAGGTGACTTGTTTTTCATAGAGTCAAAAAGCCACTTCTCGGTTCATGCAGACTGAATTTGCCCAAACCGTCTTGATTTTCGTATATGTGTTCTCCTCTCTGCGAAGGCGCTATGACGGCATGTTTGTACTTATTTTTTTTGCACTAAGACCTTTGGCTGAACTTATTGACCCATGTGGAACTTCTGGCCATCGTAGTATTAAAGCCTGGATAAGGAACGAGGGTAGCTAATAATGGGCAGCAGGAATAGGCACTCCACAATATCTCTCGGAGAAATCAGAAGTGATTATCAGTTTATTTACACGATTAAACCAGTACCAATGTGTGTATGGCCTTCGAACTCTTCACGTCCTATCTTACTTGAAAATTATGTGTTTTGAGTGCTGTTTACAAGGACATTAATCGCCGTGTCAGTATCGTGATAATCCAATTAATAAATAGAATTTCCCGAGGGGGAGATTAAAATGTGCTAGGCCCGGTTTCCGAGGTCATGGACGGTTTAATGTTGTAGTAGACACTAATGATTGTTTTCGTGAGCTAAACTCTGACAATAGTGTGATTTTCTTTACTATTCCCCCCAGTTAACCAAACTGTCTGGTTTTGGCCAAAAGGTTAAAATACTTGGAGTTGAATGTGTTCGTCTTCTTTTTATTTTTGATCGCAGAGTTTGGTTAACCACCAAACGTTAATTGTAGTGAGCGACCAAAAATAACTTATCTGAATGGAATCTTTGGGGTTCTTATCGGTATATTGAATTTATCCAATGTTACCTCACTTCACGCAGATGGTTTCAATATGAGTCTTCTTGAACTATTTTAGAAAGGCATAAGAATAGGGGTTTGGGACTAAAGCCTTCTCATCACACTTTCTAACTTTTAGAGGCACAAGAGGCAAAACTGCGACTCTCCGAATCCCTAAAGTCAATTGAAGATCTTCGAAAAACGGTAATATTTTACCTCCATCTACTACTTCTTTTTTGGCTGCAGGTTGCTGCTAGTACAAAAGCACTTTCGCATTCAAATGGTACAGTAATCAGTTCCATGTAAGATAAGATCAGTAGATAGAAATTGGAGCATCGTTTCAAAATTATTGAAAAATTAAGGTCCTCTCTAACCGTTGTTATTATCAACTACTTAAATGGTTTCAACAGTGTTGGTCTTTTCAATATTCATTACAGAACGAAGCATTAACACGGGAGGCAACGATTGCTAAGCAGGCGAGGGATGAGTTGGATGTTGCAAAAGAGGAGCTACTGAATGCACAACGTCAAATTTCAACCTTGGAAACATGGAAAAAACGGCGTGCTGATGAGACAAATGCTCTACGCATTCGTTGCGCAAAGTTGGAGGAGGATAACGCTGCTTGTCTCCAAGCTCTTTCAGAGTTAAAACAGGTTAGTTTTCTTTTTATTTTAAAAAAGTTTGCTAAGTGTGCTTAGGTCTATCTGAATTCATATTTTTGCTTTGAAGGAGAATCGACTGAATTCAAGTCTCCGTGCGAATGCAGAGGCTTCAAGGAATCAGTCAGTGGAGGCAACTTCTCGTGTCTCGGAATTGGAATTGCGTACTTTGCAATTGGAAGAGGAGTTGAAACAATCTCGGGCAGATCTGCAATCCAGTCTGCGCGAAAATCAAGCAAGTTCTGCTTGATGCAATTAGTTCGATTTGAGTTTTTATATACTGCAATTAAGGTTGTTTAAGAGATGAGTCTTGAATGTAAGCATTCTGCACTGCTACTTTAGCAACAACGCTAATAGTGTTGCATTTAGCGTAGACTGTGGCAACTGTTGCAAATTAAATGACGGTTAATCAGAAGGCTCGAGATAAATGTGACGTGTTTAGTCACCTTGACCATTTATTCACATAATTTGGAAACTAATTTTTGCATTGTATTGTGATTAGCAGAGTATGGATGGGTAGCGGTTGATCTTGCGATGTGTTGTTCCACAACAGCGTCGCAAAACTTATATTTATTTCTTTGTACACGAGATGGTATTTCTTCAAACTTTTTATCATGAATTTGGTTTGTGATACTTGATATTTATCCCGGATTCCAATCTTTATGCCATTTTAAGTATTGACTTCGGAAAATGTCATTAGGCATCGTCTATCCGTTTATGAACTGATTTTTGAGATTGCACTGAATGGATCTTTAAGATGTTGTACAGAAGAGACATATTGATTCACTCTTTTGCACTTCAGAATATTTGGAACTTTTTGAACCGATGGTTGCGTATTTCCAGGGCGTGATCAAAGTCACCCAAACGATCACTTTACAGCTTTACACCATATGCACGTCTTTGTTAGTAGTAGGAAACTCTAACCATATACCCCGACAAATTTCCCTCACTGAGATTATTTTTCTCGGTTTAGGTGCTTCTTGAGGAAATGCGTCGTTTGAGGGACCGCTACGAGAAAAATCCGCTGTCATCTGATTATGGTTAGTAATTTCGTCGTCGTCCTCCTCCTGGCTTTATTACTTCAGAGGTGTTTTAATTTGTTTCTTTGCTTTCGATATAGAATCAGGTGATAATCTTGGCCATTTTCAATCTTCACTTAACTTATCTTCAAAACCCGTCGATTCAAATGACAGGTTAGTGATATTTTGCCACAGTTCAATACTTCCACTTCTCCCAATTATTACTTTAGCCATTACTACTTTTCAGTACCAATGAAACGTCTAATGAAACCGTATTTGAAGTGGAACAACGCTATCGTGGCTATTTGGCGAAAGCTTTGGAGGTAAGTTTCACTTCTCCTTATATGATATGAAATTAAATTGAAAGTAGTAATTGTAGAACTTATTATCTTGAAGTTTGCAATCGAAGATTGAGATCTATTTATTTACGAGTGTCCTATCAACTACTATTGTGAAGTTAGCTTAACAATAACCAAAACAACAAAAATTGCTGCAGCTGATAGAATAGGTGTATGCTCAAGATAAGATGTGTGCACTACAGCAGGCCATGGAGCACATTTATATCGAGAAATTTAAAATAGACTAGGCTATCAATCTCAAACGCACTCAGTTTGCACATATGCAGATTGTAGCCCAACTGGAAATTAGCAAAACTGAGTTATGTTCACCTTCAGGTCCCTTGCTTTCTCTTACTTGGGCAATTTGTATCTTGATCCATGTTTTCATATTTGATACCCTTATTGATCTTTCTTTCCCTTTATATGAACTTAACCCCCTTTATACTACGCTTAATGCACTATTTAAAAGAAAGTGCGTGCGTTCGTGTGTGCGTGTGCAGATTCAAGGGAAGAATAGAGAAGTTTTAGTAACACCTAGATAGAAAGCATTTTAAACCAGACAAAGATAACATTTGATAAGAGGAATCATTTTCTAAGTAGGAATTTATTCTAGAACATCTTATATTCAAGGCAAGATGGAATTAAGGGTCATGAAATTTCAGTGGGGTATTTTCAATTACTTACGAAAGATACAGAAAAAATGGTAATGACATGCATTGTTAGGTGACATCTATAATATTGTGTCGAATTGGCAAGCACTTACAACTTATTGAGGCGTATAGTTTTTGAAATGGTGCAAGATAAAGGCAATATATAGAGTTGTGCCGTATTATATATTTTTCCTCCAGGTAATTCGCCAATTAGATCGGTGTGCGATCGCGGCAGAGACAACGGTAGCCAATCAGAACGATGAGGCAAAGCCCGCTAACGAATCAGAAATTGTTCGACTTCAGACTCTGCTGGCTGAAAAGGAAAATATAATTGAACAACTTGAAGTGAGTAAAACCTACCATGCATTTTTAATTTAATCTGCATTCTATTTAGACGGAGTAGTGCTAAATAGGATGATTTCTATTTTGGAGTTGTATTGGATATCTTGACGCCACCAGAACGTTTCGACTAATGATTTGATTGATGATTTAGGGACGGCTACAATTGTTGTCGGTTATTATAAACGGTGATCTACATTTTCAATAGCGTATTATGTAACCCACTTAAATTTTTTGACATGAGCACAAAGGTCTAGTTCTAGCTGCATAAATTTGAAGGCTTCGTCTCAATTATTTGTTGGTCAAATGACTGATATGGGCTGAGATTTGTAGATTCAGCAGTATTGAATGAATTTTTCAGTATTTCCTTACAGTGTTTTTTTTCTAGTGGCTACAATAGTTGTCCGTGAGAAGTCGGAAATCTAGCACTCATACCTTGAACTCCAATCATAAAATTGTGTTTAATCACTCTTAGGGCCTCGTATATTCCCGTTTTTCTTTTATGCAAACATGATAAAAGTGGCTTTTCTCATACGAATTTCTTGTGGTACAAATAAGCTAAGTCAAATCGGCTAGTCAATTCATTGGTATATGATCATTCAATTTTGGACTGCGAAGAATCCGTTATTGCCATCAAAAACAAATCCAAGTTTTGAATCTGTATGAATGGTTAAATTGTAATTTCTAACATTTCATTTGAACATAGAATTAACGTTTCAAAATCTCCAAGATGAGAAAAACGTGCTTTACTACCCACTTTCCTTATCATTATTAGGCCACTCAGCGGAAGAATCTGTGTTGAAGTACGTCGAATTCACGACTTCTTTTGTTCCATTATATCGTATTAGTCAAGTCATGCTGAAAATACACACTTTTTAGTTTGTGTCTATTTCCTCTTGGGGCTTCCTTGCAAGGCAGATAACAGGGCAAAGTGGCCATTGAAACCGATCCTTTAGTCAATTAACGATGATCCCTGTGCCGACAAACGGTCTTCTTCACTGTCTGCGTTTCCCAAATCTAATATCTTGTCTCGTTGGGTGGTTTGTTTCTATGTCGTCAAAACCTCCAAACTAAAATCCTACTTTTAAGCTTTTCTGACAAATTCGGTCTCATTTCCAATTGTCAACTTTGTGTACATTAGGGCTGGCATTTTGGCGTTAGGATTTGCGTGCAGCTATTTAATGCTGCGCATATCCAATTTGTCAGTTAGGAGCGCTTTGATCATTTGTATTTTCAGGATCACCTTCTGAGTGACTGTTCTATGAATAAATAATTTTACGTGTTGTGATTTTTATTTTCAGCGCCACCACGAGCAAGCCAGACGACAACGCGATCTCGAGGACCGCATGATGTTGACAGCTTGGTACCACCTTGGAATGCGTGTTAATCGTGCTCATACTGAGCGTCTTCTGCATGAAGAAACTGGTGATAAGTTTGTCAATGACTCCTTTTTGTCACAACAACGAAGGATTCATCTCAACTCACCTTTTCGCGGTGCGCCTAGATCCAATCTCTGAACACTCCCCTTCATTTCTATTGTGTATATTATTTTCTTCGCAATAATTTAATTTATGCACGTTTCCCTATTCATTATCTTTCTCTACATTACCTTTCTCCATCAGCTGTATTTGGCACGAATGAAGCAATTGGCATGATCGCATTCATTACAAAATCAATTATTTTCCAATTTTGAGAAAGTTGTGCCAACTTTCTAATCAATTCCACCACATCCATTGAATTTCGATCTTCAACAACTATATATGTATGCTCATTAAACTTCCGGATAAAAGTGATCACAAACATTGACCACAAATTGTGACTTAATTTTATATTCGAGGTTGGAAGAAGACAGAAGACTTCTAAGGCGTGGATAGATGAATCGAGGGAGACACTACTTTCCGTCTCTAGTTCTATTAAAATTTATTCTATTCGAAATATAACTGGCCGTTTTGGAGAGGTTTGGCTATTACAATATAGATATAGGTCTGCTCAGTGAAGATAACAATTTTTCACAGGTGCGTAAATCGAATAAAACTCCATTTCAGGCTAATTTTCATTGTCAATTTCGAGAATTCATAAACGAACAATTTAAAATAGTAAAGATCTTAATGATGTATATCCGTTTAAAAAGGCACGAAATATCATCGAATCACTGTTTAAAATTAACTATATATGATATATTTCGAAAATCTAACTTTTCACGCCTCAGAGAAGAGTAGAGGTGCTTGTGCTTGTTAAAAGTACCCTTGAAATGACTTGCAATAAGTTTGGTATCAAATTTGAGTTTGCGGCTATCAGAAGGCGGAAATCACGAAAATGGTATCAATGCTTTCGTTGTCATCTCACTAATTTTCAAACAAAATTGGCAGCATCACATGCGCCTTCTTCGTTTGAACTTCATTAGAGTAAAGATTTACGACTAGTCATGGAAATCGACATCTTCTCGTTTATCAAACACGTCCATTTCGGGAAAATTCGGAAACCACATTAACTTACCCTGAAATTGAGTAGACTTTCCTTCATGTTATTCATGACAACTGATAAATTAACCAAGTGTAGAGCAAGACAAGGTCTTCTTTGTTGGGTCTATCCACATTGTTCTCGCACAGTTCCCTATTGGGATTGGCTTAGTTAGATCTTCAAATGTTTTGGCAAGTATGAGAGGCCAGTACTCGAATCAGCATTTACTCAGCACTTAGGAGGAACTTAAGTCTTGTTTTCCAACACTCTGAATGCTGCTGTGAAATTGGGGTTTGGTTTCTCGAGGATTCCAAGGTTTGCTTTAACTTAAAATCATAGTCGCAATTTGAATGATTGGCATGGAGTCATTCTTGTACGAGTTTGCAAGCAACCAACCTGCTCTTCCATGTCATCTCACAACTTCATAGAATTTATTTTATGACTCCTGTTTGAACGGATTGGCACCACTTTGATATTTTTCGATGATTGTTTAGAATGAAGTAGTGTAAAGTGAATCACAACTTTGATCTACTCATTTTACCAAATTGTGGATCAACAAGTGAACTATAACCAGGCCCCGATGTCGATGGCAAACTTCCTTCATTCAGCCAAACGAGAGTAAATTTATTTACTCTTATTTTGAACTAATTTCTGCTTCTTCAACATTCAGTTATTTTAATAAGATCTACAATTATTTGTAGATTTGAACCCCTGACCTAACTACCACGTAATACTGAGGGCATTGCTGTTTACAAGCACTTAATATATTTCCAACGGTATTCACTTCATACCACGAATCAAGTGAGTGAAGAAGCCTTCATTTCAAATAAGGCTTTTACTACTTAAATGGACTCTCTCTAAAATTGAACAAGTCGAGGAACTTGGGGAAAGTTGAAAGCTTCCCTCAAAATCAGAAGGGAAAAGTTGGGAAGAACCCATTGTGCAATAAACGATGGCAGAGTTAGAGAAGAGGAAATCGAAAACTGATATAAAGAGAACCGAGTTATATATTTCGACTGTGGCCTTGAATTAATTGTGCCTTTGCCTCAATGAGACGAACTGTATCGAGCCCAGTATTTGAGTCGACAAATATCGTTAATAAATTCGTTTGAGGAATTATAGTTTATTTAACATATTACTTTTTTTCACTACAGTAGTTCTCCAATCAAATGGATAGAGAGGTCTCTAAAGCATTTTTACCCTTAAAGAACATTTTCCGTGCATGCATTGTCTCAGGTTGTGCAATGAACGGATATTGAAATACTGCCTAATTTCAGTTGAACCAACGTATTTTTGGTATTGGATTCACTCTAGATATAGACTCATGGAAACTAGGAATGGGGAAATAGGGCTGAGAACTCCACCACTCCTGTGACTCTCAGCTAGTCGACCTCGAAGCCCGATTCTAACCAAATGGACCATCCTCTAGACAAACACAGTTTCGATTTTCTCTCGAAAGATATGTGTCGTCTCTTCCAAACCACATTTTTGTTACCATTTTTTGATTAAATTCACTGAGCGTTTAATTTGCGCCAACTGCATTTGCGTAAATTTCTGCCTTTTTAAATATAGCACACCCACGAATAAGTCTTCAACTTTTTAAAAACATATCACGCATTAGTCGAAACTTCTTTGTTGATACTTGTAAAAGATGAAGAAAACGCCCATTCATGAGAACAAGTATTTCAAGCAGAATTTTGTGTGTTTTATCACTTTCAATTCCATTTAAACTCTCTGAAAGATGTATCGTTGTTCTTACTAATATAAGTTACTTCTTTCATCTGGAAAGACTTTCTTCATTAGTAAAAATCACCACAACGTTGCACTTTTGACAGTCAAACGTTGACTATGAACCGAGTCTTGTTTGCGCCGAGTTTTGTCAAGTCTTAAAAGGAACTCCATAATGTTGAGATTAGTTAGTCCTTTCAAACCCTTTTCATAAAAATATCACACATTAATCAATATTTCGTTCCTGATACTTATAAAAGACGAAGAAAACACTCATTTGTGAGAACAATTATTTCAATCAAAATTTTGTGTGGCAAGAAGAGAGTACTTGATGATGCGAGGCTCACTTCGTGTGAACACATTTAGAGAAAAAGATTTACCTAGCACGTGAAGTTGACTCAAATTATCGATATTAAATCATGTAGGAGGTCTGTGGGAAAACGGATTTCAAATAAAATTTATTTTACATAAATGTGAATTGTGAAGGACAAAAGAGAAGATGAAATTGTAAAACTTTCCTGAATTAAACGATCTGGTAATTACAATACTTACAAATATCTTGGAGCAGAAGGAAGTACTTGATGATCCGAACTTAACTTCGTGAGTGTACATCTGGAAAAAAGTTATACCACGCACCTGAAGTTGGCATTTGTAATTAATATTAAAACATTAAAGAGGTCTGTGAGGAGACTAATTTGTTCCCTATACACCGCTGCCATAAAAGAGCCTTACTGACCTCCACTGTATTAAAATCAGCTTGGGCTACTTCGACTTACTACTCTCAGCACACGAAAACAGGAATTTAAATGTTGTGGGCAGCCATGACAATTCATCAATGGATGAACTCAAATTTAGACATGTACCTTAGGAAATATTGAATTTTGAAAGTAGAGGAGTACTCATTAAGAAACATCCAATGCAATTGATTTCAAAAATTAATTACGATTCACCTACGACCAATCATCCAGTAGCTTCAACGGATGCACAAATTTATGTCAGTTCTCTTGACTTAGTACGGCTGGATGAATGTGGAAACATGGTTTGTTCTCATTACCGACTCAGGAGATGATAGAGACAGAGTTATTGTTCTGGATCTCTCAGTTGGACTAGGACTCATTGTCACCCTGTTAGTGGTAAGATTGCCTTCCTTCCTGTCATTCATTCTAAGGTGGTGGTGTCATGCAACTACTTAGGGGTCTTGATTATCATCACCTCATTTTCTAGTGCGCATCGTTGTGTGTTTTGAATGCAGTTGCACAGACCCAATAGCAAGGAAGTCGATGACTTCGAACTCAACAATTACTGATTTGTAATGAGAATATTGTCGAGTATTAATGGTTCTGATTATACGAGATTGTCTGGCAGTCTAACTGAACAGTAAAGTAACAGTGGCAGAATTTTTTGCTAGTTAACATTTTTGATGAACACATTTTGAGACTTCCGATTTGGACGTGAAAACATACTTCATTCCGCATTAATCAAAGTAGTAAAAATATAACCAGTCCTATATGTTCACAAAAGGCAAGTTAACATCAGATTTATATTTCGAAGTAGTTAATACAGACTGTTGATTGATTGTTCCCAGGCAGGGACCTGAAATCACTTTTTACCTTGGCTATATTGTAGAAACGGACAGTGATACCATTTAGGTATGTAATGAAAAGGTCAATTACAATCTTGTTGTTCTCATTTCCATTACAAAGTGAATGAAATGAGGTTGTGGTGTCTGAGAATAGCATCTGCTTTTACCTACTTCTATTTTTGTCAAAAATGTCGTTAATATCAAAGACAGTTGAGGTATAATTACAAGTCGCTTTTGCCAATGTGTCACTTAAATGTAATACCCACCTGCATCACCCCCTACCTCTGCCGCCCTAAAATTTCAAAAAACAGAGGCGAATAGCGACGATGACAAGTAGTTTCATTTTTAACAAACTGGCTACGCATTTGTTGAAAACCTCCCATAATTTTTGATCTGTGCTTAAATCTGAAGTAGATTTTTTAACGAGTTTTTTCACACAGAAAGCACCATTAATCTTCCTTTGTGCTAGCTAAAATTAGCTTGTTGTTGTGACGATATTTTAAAGTCATTAGGCAATACTGATCCTGTTTGTGAAAATATGGGGGAAAGGTAATTCTCTATTTTAACGGTCAAATCAGTTCACTATTTATCATTTGCATACAAAGTAAGCAAATGAGAGTAACACTTTCACCATGAGGAATTATTCCAAAGTCTGATTGTATTTGATGGAAATTTGCTTGACCGCATTGGGGAAATTGAGGTAATGAGATTCACATAGCAGTTTTGTTTGAACATTTATGATTAACG